AGCGGGGGCTACTCTCGAGTTGCAGAGCACAAGCTTCTCATTGCGGTGGCTTCTCCTGTTGTGGGGCATGGGCTCTAGGGCACAGGTTCCATAGTTGTGGCACACAGGCTTAGCTGCTCGGCAGCATGTGAGATCTTCCCAGGCCAGGGATCAAACCCATGTCTCATGCATTGGCAGGCAGATTCTTTACCACTGAGCCAACAGCCCCTATTCTTCAATTTTTTAATGTGGTGTATCACATTGACTGATGTGCAGATATTAAATTATTCTTGCCTCCCTGGGATAAATCCCACTTGACCAAGGTGTATGATCCTTTTAATATTGTTAATATAATGATTTGATTTCCTAATATTTTGTTGTGGATTTTTGCATCTATGATCATCCATGATGTGTGTGTGCATGCTAAGTCACTTCAATCTTTGTGACCCTATGGACCATAACCTGCCAGCCTCCTCTGTCCATGGGATTCTCCAGGCAAGAATACTGAACTGGGTTCCCATGCCCTCCCCCAGGGGATCTTCCCAACCCAGGGATCGAACCACGTCTCTTATATCTCCTGCAATGGCAGGCATGTTCTTGGCCACTAGCACCACATGGGAAGCTCTCATCCATGATATTTGCCTATAATTTTCTTTTTCTGTGATATCTTTGTCAGGTTTCAGTATCAAGGTGATGCTGGCTTTTCGAATGAGTTCAGTGCAGCTGTCTTGAAATTTTTTGAAATAGTTTAAGAAGGATAAGTAAGTCTTTTCTAAATGTTTGGTAGAATTCACCTGTGAAGCTCTCTAGTGTGGAAGGGCCTTGTCCAGTAGTGGCTCTGGGCTCCAGGGGCATTAAGGCAGCCTGTCTGCTGGTGGGTGGTGCTGTGCGCCACCCCAGGTAGTTGCTTAGCCTGAGGTGTCCCGTTATTGGTGTCAAAAGCCTGGGGGGTATGGCTGAGTCCTGGCACTAATAAGCTAGAGGAAGGATCAGAAGATGACAGTTGCAGCACCAGTGTCCTGCGGTAGATCGAGCTCCCAGGAATGGCCACTGCCAGTGTTTATACCCCTGGGATGAGCCCCAGTTTCCTCTTGCCTCTCCAGGAGACTCTCCAAGATCAGCAAGTGGGTCTGATCTTGTATGCACCCTTTAAGAGTGGAAGCTCTATTTCCCCCGGCCCTGTAGGTGTCCAATCTAAGGGTTTGTTTTTCCAGTGCAAGACCCCCAGGCTGGTGAGCTCAGATCCCTTATTCCTTGGGGAGAACCTCTGAAATTGTCATTATTTTCTCAAGGGGTATGGGTCCTGACAACTCCTCACCTCCTACTTGTCTTCTTGTGGTTCCTTCTCTATGTCTTTACTTGTAGATCTTTTCTGGTAAAAACCAGTCTTTCTCATCAACAGTTGCTGGACAAATAGTTGCAGTTTTGTGTGCCCATAAGAGGAGGTAATCTTATTGTCCTTCTACTCCACCAACTTGCCACACTGTCTTGATTACACCATCTTCATAGTTTTGAAATTGGTAAGTGTGAGTTCTCCAACTTTTTTGTTGTTATTGTTTCAAGATCATTTTGGCTTTTATGAGTTCCTTGTAGTTTTCAGTATATAATCTTGCATTTCTTTTCTTAAATGTATTGAATATCTTTACTGAATATCTTCAAGTTTATTGATACTTTCTTCTGCCAGTTAAAATCTGTTCTTAAGTCCTTCTAGTGAATTTTTCCTTTCAGTTTTACTTTTCAACTACAAATTTTCTGTTTGGTTCTTTTTATCATTTCTATCTCTTTATTAATATTCCTTTTTTGTTGAGATATCATTCTTACACTTTTCTTTTATTCTTTAAACATGGCTTCCATTAGTTCTTTGAACATATTTATAATAATTGAATTAATATTTCTGTCTAGTAAATCCAGTGCCTGAACTTCTTCAAGAACAGTTTCTATTGGCTGGGAATTTTTTTTCTATAAACAGAACACACTTTTTTGTTCGTTTGTATGTTTCATAATTTTTTATTGAAAATTGAACATTTAAAAAATATAATGTGACCATTGACCATTCTGTACACCCAATTCCCCTCCTTCCTAGGGTTTGTTGTAGTTCCTATTGGTTATTATTTGTCGTTGCTGCTGCTGTTTGTTTAGCAACTTTTCTGAATTCATTCTGCAAAGTCAATATTCCTTATTATGTGTGGCCACTGAAGTCTCTGCTCAGTTAGTTTGTTGTTGTTTAGTTGCTAAATCCAACTCTTTGCAACCCCATAGACTGTGTCCCACCAGGTTCTTTCATTCATGGGATTTCACAGGCAAGAATACTGGAGTGAGTTGTCATTTCCTTCTCCAGGGGATTTTCCGAACCCAGGGATGGAAACTGGGTCTCCGACTTTGCAGGCAGATTCTTTATTACTGAGCCACAAGGGAAGCCTTCAGTTAGCTTAGTGGTCAGTTAATGAATAGACAGAGATTTCCTGAACATCTTGAACCAATAAGTCACTCAACTTTTGCCAGCTTCCTCTCTGTACGCATTTTAAAGCATGAATTCACTGGTCGAATAAACATTTTACAACTTGGCCTTAACTGCATTTTTCTGTATAGATCCTCAAGGTCAGCCACAGATGAGAGATAAGGGCTTTCTCAGATCTTTTCTGGGCCTGTGCATAGCTCTGTTCGTGCAGGTGGCATTTTAGATTCCCAGGAATTTGTCAGAGCTTGCCAAGCCCCTAGTCAAAATCTCATTCTCCAGTTTTTTTTTACATTTTTTTTCAGCTCCTTGTTAGTTGCAACCACTGCCTCAGGCAGCTGCAATGTTAAGAACTTTCCAACGATAAAGAATTTTAAATAAGAGCCCAAAGTAAACAACCCAAAAGTAGGCATTGTGCATGTCACTCAGTCATGTCCAACTCTTTGTGACCCCATGACTGTAGCCCACCAGACTCCTCTGCCCATGGAATTTTCCAGGCAAGAATACTGGAGTGGGTTGCCATTTCCTTTCCCAGGGGATCTTTCTGACCGAGGGTTTGAACTCGTGTCTCCCTCACTGGCAGGCAGATTCTTCACCACTGTGTCGCCTTGGAAGCCAAAAAAGTAGGAATTAAGTGACTCAATAAAGGTCACAAATCAATAGCCTAAAGTGGTCAGGACTCGTAACACAAAAGAGAAAACTGAGCTCATGAAAAAAAAAATTTGGGGTAATATAATGTCAACATATTTTGTTCTTAGTTCTGCATGTGTCAGGAAGACACAAAGGATTTTACTGAGTTTACTGGGTTACTGAAAACAGAATATCTTATGTCAAGGGGACAGCAACTCTTTAGCACTATTTAATGAAACTTTTTTGCTCAATATTCCCTGTTTTCAAAAGAAGCTAGGAATCTAGATTTTGTTCCCTATTTTAAAATAATAAACAGTGCACAGAACAAAGGACATTTCCAGGTTTAGTTCAGACTGATGTTCACCATTTTGGAAACTCTGTAATACTTGGATAAAGTCTATGTTAAAGAGAGTATATAAATATCTGATTTAAATACATGAAGTTCCAAATATAAGCAATGGTTTTCTTAATGTGCAAAACACCAAAATTTATGTAACAGCAATATAGCTGAAAGATGGTCAGATTGGGTTTCAGAAAATATGTTTTTTTCAACCTGATTATATTACTTAGTAAATATACAGGAACATCATTTACTCATCACTCTTTGATGAGAATAAAATGACACATAGAAAATGCCTGGGAAGTCATAAAATACTTTAAAAATTCATAGCATCATAATTAAATCGTATTAATAATAATTATTAATTTATTTAAAAAAAACACCTTTCCACTGACTATTTTCAACAAGTATCCTAACAATAAGGTTGTTTGCACAGAGAAAGTTCTGAAAGCTCTGAGAATTCATCTTTATAGACAATTTGAAATAGGTCACATAGTGACAACTCTCTGAAAATGAAGCTTTTTGGAGCACTCTAAACCCATTCTTTCCCCTCCCTCTTGACCTCTAGTTTGCTGGTCTTCATGGCTATTTCAGTTGCAAGACTGTTGGTTTCTAAGGCTACCTAAAGAGGTGGGGTGAGAGGGATGGGAGCAGGGCAAATTAAAATGTCACGATGCTCACTGTGCTTAATGAGATTTAGCCATTTTTCTTAAACAAATGCTCCTCAAATTACTGCAAGTTTTGGTGATTTCCAGAGTTCTGAAAAAGTTGACTTCGTTTTTGTTTATCACTTTTATGGAGGAGGGGGTTTTTCAGAGGTCCTTGCTCCACCATTTTGTAAGTACTTCTCTCAAAGAAACATATATAAATATCTCTTTGATTCAAGTCTACATTTTTTGTTTTTCTTTTACTCACACAATAGAATACATCTTTCCTCTTTTCTCCTTCAGCGAGTGAATTAAAATCAGAAAAGAGATATGAAAAAACACATTTTCCGATTTTTTTCAGTAGTTTCCTTGTGTTATAGAGGAAAGTGTTAGGTAGGAGAAAGCTGTTTCTTTCCAAAGAAACAAATATAAATCCAGAAGTACAGTCTTTCCAGTTCTGTGATAGTCACAAATGAACTGGGACAGGAGGATGTGTTTGATTAAGGAGTATTGGAAAGGGTATGTAATATTCGATTTAAAAAAAAAAAAAGTGCTTTAATGCCTGAGTTTCCTACACAGAGAAGAGTGTAGTTTCTACATGGGCCAGGTAGGTTATGATTACTCAACTCCAAATCTCACTTTGCCAGTATTAACTCCTTCCAATAGCTTCCTTCAAATATCAGAAGTTGAGGTGAATGAGATGCAAAATACATCATAATCAGTACATTCCCCTTCTTGAGCAAAACTGGAACTGGTGAAGGGTCACAGAAACTAGGAGAGATTCATTCCTGGTGATATCTTGGGCCAAATTCCAGAAGCCCAAGGGAGGAGTGGGCAGGACATTTGCATGCATGACCTCGCCCAGAAGATCCAGCCCCAGAGCATATAAACAGGTGAGTTGTCACTTTTGCCCAGTTCCAGGCTCAGCAGTTTGCAAGCGGATTGAAGCATGGCGATCCTCAGGCCCCCGCTTCTGCCACTGGGGTTGCTTCTGTGCCTCTGGCTTCTGTGTTCTCTGGCCAGTTGTACAAACCCCACTTTCGAATGCAAGCCCATCTCTTCAGTCACCAACAAACTACCCTCATATATCGACATCTACCCATGGGAGTATGAGAGCAACAAACTCTACACGGGTGAGTAGAAGCCGTTCTCTCTGCTGTCCTTTGTTCTCTGAAGGGCGATCAAGCCAGAACTGCAGGACATAGCCCTCCACCCCTGCTCTCAGTGACACCCAGAGCATGTGTCTTTGACCGGGCTGGGACGTTGACTGCAGAAGAAGGGAGAATGAGAACGTGGGAGTGGGTGGATGGGGTGGGATGCTTCCTGCCCATCCCCTCTGTGAACCTGAGCCACGAGAGCCAGGATGCCCCAACACTTAGGTTAAGCGAGTCGCAGCAAGAGCATGACTGCAGCAAGTTCTCTCACTTAAATAAACTGGACTTAAACTGTCTGTATTTGGGAGGGGGAGGCATTTTTATTCTTTTAAGAAGCAATAACTGCACCTCAGTTTGTAGTCTTTTCCCATCCACTTGCTAAAACAATGCCAGCATGGATGATTGTATACCGTGCAACTGCAGGAAACACTGTTCACACTCAGGCTATGGGCGGAACATCTAGTGAGTTAGACAGGGAAACTGTTACTGCCCCACCCAATAAATGAGGAGTCTGAAGCTGAGAGAAGTTAAATGACTTGCTCAGGGTCTCACAGCTAGTAAGTGGCAGAACTGCCTCTTGAATCTTAGTCTTTTCATTCTGAATCCAGTGCTTTTCCTTGATGTGCCTAGAACTATTATATAAACATCCCTTTGGGGATCAGTCAGACCTAGAAGTCAAGGCAAGTGCTCTCTAATACAACTTTCTTAATAGCAATAAATTGAATATGGTTGTTTATGTGTACCGATACATTTAGCCCTCACAATGACCTGCTGGGTAAAAGCTGCTGTCAACCCCTGTTTGTAAATGAGAAAACAGGCGGAGATGCCAATCGCTCAGGTCATAGAGCCACTGAAATGATGGACCTGGAATCTGAACTTGAGCTTTCTAGCTTCAGAGACCCTTCTCTTAATCACAGCACTATATACCTCTCAATTACGGGAGTGACAGCTAAGACATCTCCCTGTGTTCTGAGTGCTGATCTAAGGGGAAACGCTAGTATCATCTGCACTTTACAGATGAGAACTGAGGCACAGGGGAGTTAAAGTTTTACCCAAGGTCACTAGTAGATCGTACCGCTAATATTTGAACAGAAATAATGGCCAGGAGTTGCCCAGCTTTGTCCAGTCAGGCGGTCCAGCTTCAGAGCCTGCCTCCTCATCTACCATGTCATCCTGCCTCTCTCAGAACCCTCACCACATTTTGCAGAGAACACTGGAGTGGTGCCCACACCCACGGTCTACAGATTCCAGGCTCGAGCAGGAGAATGACTGCCGTCTGCCTTCACACACTCATTCTGGCTAGTCCTTTTTCCTGTTGTTGTTTTTTTCCCTCGGAGACGGTCACTAAGTGCCTCAGCTGTGGTGAGGCTCCCTATGTCTGACTCCGTCAGGCAGTGGATCTTGTTCTAACCAGGGCAGGGAGGATGATCTTGTGATTCGAGATGAGACCCAGGAGGTGTGGGCTTGTGTACAGGGAAGAGTGGAAGCTTGCATACAGGGAAGGATCTGGGTGGTCAGAGATCTCAGAGCTCTGACTTAAGATAACACATCATGAGGTGAGGAATTTTGCTGTTGAAATGGAAGAGAAAGAAACCTATCTTGTGAAGACGCAAAGGGTGTGGGTGGGGCAATTAGAGGTGGGGGTGGCAGAGAAACCTTCTGAAAGTAGGAACACAAGAGGAAGAAGAATCAAAAGACCATCCATAAGACGATCCATAAGGGAATGTGCCCGATGAGATGGACGTGACAGCCTTTACCGAGGCATCAGGTCCAGCAGAAACGAAGACTCATTGGACATCTGCTATGTGTCACGCACTTCTCCAAACTTCATCTGATTTCCTCTCAGAACAGAAATGTGTTAAAGCTTTGTGATAAACTGACTCACTGTAGGAATGATTTAAGTTGAGAGTCAAAATCCTATGCCCTTGGATATGTGATGTATCAGATTCCACACCTGGAATTACACAACAGGCTCCATGATTTCCTTGTGTCATTTCAGGACCTCACTGGGATTCCTGGGACTTTTGGGAAGACCAAGTAAATGTCCACACAAGCCAACTTCTTCTCCTTATTTTAATATTGATTTTTTTTTAAAATTTCAGGGTTTGTGTTAACATTGGTGAGACATGTATAAATGGTTTGGCAGGTTTCAAGATACAGTTGCAGCTCAGGCAACATCATAGAACAGGTTCCCTGGATCTGCCTTAATATCAGTCAAAGAAACTCGTAAGGCAGTAGCATTTATAATACATTATAACGTGCAGGGTAAACATCTGCCTCCATTTTTACTTTGACGGGAAGAGAAATTTAACTTGCTTTTCTTTTTTCCTGAACCTTTGGATTTAAGGTTCTATGCAACACTGGATGCACAACTTTTTAAAAATCAATGAGCAAAAAAAAAAAAAAAAAATCAATGAGCAGCTACTTAGTGCTTTCCAAGTACCCAGCACTGGATTGCCCAGATCCACAGGTGAAACTACAGTGTACAGTACAAGCCAGAATGCAACTAAGTCCTCTGCTCTATAGTTAAAAGCGTACATGATTCAGGAGTGAGAGGAAAAGAGAGCAGAATCTTGGAGAGTAAGTGGGGGTGAAATGTGAGATGAGAAGGAAGATGCCAGGCAGGCACCAGATATGAACAAGGGTGAGCAGCAGGCAAGCCAGGTGCATCTGCAGAACAGAGGAAGCTTCACTATCTAGAGGAGGGGTACAAACAGCAGAGTCAGTGGGGTTATGACAGTCACAAGAGCTGTGTGCTGGGTGTTGGGATCAACAGAAGCAGAGATATAAAAGCAAAAATGTTTAGAGGCTCTAGGAAGAAAAGCACTTTGAAGATTTTGAATAGGTGTGGGTCCTCAGGTGGCAGTCTGAAGGGAGGGGGCCATGGAGGTCAGGAATCTGAATAATACAGAAAACTAGGAGGGATGAAAGGAGGATATAAAGCCAGAGAGAGAGAGAGAAAGCAGAAGGACAACGGCAAGCTCAGAGCCCCCCTCCCTTCCCTCCACAACAGGACCATGACAGGCTTGATGATGACTAGATGACACTGTTGCTCATTAGCATCCACCCCACCAGCATGCACAGGTATTAAGGACAAATATCAGGTTCTAGCTGAGCAAGTCAGGGCCAGGGGATCTGGCTCAGCAACCTTGACTGGCAAAAACAAACAGAACAGAGGACTGTTTTGTGCTAAGAATAACGATAACAACTTATTCAACACCCACCAGTAGTAAAGTTTTTACATTCCTCTCTTCACTATCCCGAGAACCTTTCAAGATAAAGTATCATGATCTCCATGCAATGAGAGATAATGTCATTGTCCTCATACCTAGAACCAAGCCCCATGCAAAGCATAAATATTTGTGGAGTGAATGATGGACAGAAAAGAAACCAAGGATCAGCGGTGAAGTGACTTGGTCTTAAATGCTAGGGCTAGGATTCAGGTCCAGGACTGTCTGCTCTTATCATGCTACATGATCAGTTTTCTTTATTTTGTAAAGGAGAAGCTGTTGAAGAAATTTGGGGTGATTGGGAGGGCCCTAGAGAATAATACCCTTAGGATTGAGAAACTTGTTCAGAAGGGATCTTCTAAGGGAGGAAATGGACAAACTGAAATATTCTCTTGAAATTCCCTCCCTAATACACTTTGGAAAGCTGAAAACAGCATGTGGAATTCACAAGTATCAGTGGCCCACACCACTGTGGGCACATGCTGGGCTAAGTCAACAGGTAAGATTCACTGAGTGGAGGGGACCAGGGAACCCTAAGTGGTTATTTGATACTAGGTGCTTAGATTAGGGCCTCTGGGTCTCAGAGACCCCCTCTCTTCCCTCACCCTCCACAACAGAGACCAAGAACATCAGCATTTCTGGAAGCAGCAAATAGGTTTTGTTTGACTAGGCAGTAACACACTCTTATTTCCTGAAGCACTTCCCAGGAGGCCCACTTGAGCTCTTCACATACATCTACAGCTTCAATCCCCCCACTTCACTGTCATGCTACCCACCCACCCACAAAGGACAGAACTGTCATCTGGAAGATAGGAACAGGACTCAAGAGGTTAAAAGTCAGCCAGGATCTCATCCCTGGTACATAGCAAAGCCAGGACCGGAGCACAGGTCTTCCTTTGTCCACCTTTTCCTGCAGAAAACTTGGAAAACACAAAAAAAGCACTAGGAAGAAAATAAAAATCATCTATAATTGCACAATCAGGAAACCCTCATAGCTATATTGATGTATTTCCTTCCAGGTTTTTTTCAACTTATTTTATATTTTATAAAAATGGGACCATACCTTATTTACATACTACTCGTCACTTTCTTTTTTCATACTTAATTTTGATTTTATGACCCCATCTCACGTCTCACTGTACAGACAGCTGACTGTTTCCTTATTTCCTCCTAGTGTCACTCATTGTGGAGCCCAATATTACCTCTGTGATCTTGGAAGCACGGGACCAGCATGACTCAGTCGTTGGCTCCTGGCAAAACCCCAGTCAATCTTGTGAAGGCCGGGCCGAGTACAACTTGAAGGGTCAAATCAGGACGCTCTTCGAGGCAAAATGGATGTCTCCTAAATCCACGGACATATGCTCAGTCACGATATAGTAAGAAATTATCCATAAATGATTTGCTCTGGGGCTTTTACAATTTCATATTGGGTTTGTACATTTTTATACTGAACTTGGAGGATTCAAAATACAATCCAGATATGATGTGAAGAATTCAGTAGCTGCACTCCTTTTCTGCCTCACCATTCTTTGTCCTATCTTTTATCTGCAGAAGTTTATACATCACACACACACATACACACACACACATATACACACTCACACAAGGTACGCTCAACATAAACAGAAAAAAATTGGTGTTAAAGAAAACCCCAGAGCTGGAGAGTAGTTAAAGCAAAATGAATGAATGAATGAATGGACAAACACAGATTTTATTTGAGACTATTGCAATAAGAGAAAAGAGAACTCAGTATAGAACAAGTCTCAGTTCTGAATACAACATGGGCAAGTGTGAATTTATAGCCAAGGAACAGGGTAGGGGGTGAGCAGATGGAAAATCACTAAGAGGAAGCATCAAAACCTGTAAGAGGGATTCTGGCTAAATTGACGTAACAGGATTCCTGCTGAAGGCAGGCCAAGATGATCAGATATCACCTGGGGAGAGCTGAGGAAGAGGAATTCAATCAGATAATAAGGGTGACCAGATATCAAGGGTGGGAGGTTCTTGCTAAATTGACTTATGAGGAGTCTGGCTAAAGTTGGATTTTACAAGGAAGTGCACAGATGGGTAGGAGAAGTTTCTAGAACCTGACTAAAGCTTGAATTGAGAAAGAACCCATGTCATTGGCACCCAATTTGCTTCAAATTCTCTCTATTCCCCTGCTACTTCCACCCAATTCACTACTATTAGTCTGGGGCTGACAGAACTCCAGAGCCAGGCAGGGTTGGGGGCAGCAGTTGCAAACAGTTAAAGACACTCGTCCTGAAATCATCTGGCTACCTTGGCACTGCCCTCTCTGCCAAGCCCTGTGCAGTCCTTTAGAGGACTTGCTAAACTGAGGGTGCAGAGAAGCTGCCTGAAGCCAAGAGCCTGCAGGACGGGTGCTCTTAGCCCCTACTGTTACTGAACCAAACCCTCCACTTGCCTGCTGCAAAACGCAGCCAATGTACTGACGCCGGGTTGTGATGAAAGAAAGGATAATGTTTACTGTAGGCACCAAGGAAGGAAAATGGGTGGCTCAGGCACAAAAGACCTGGTCTGATGGCCCTCAGGGAAGGTCCTTCAAAGGCCATGTTTGGGGTGAAGTTTGCAAGGGGCATGACTTTCTTCTGATTCACTGGTGGTGGTGAGGTAAGAGTGATGTTTCAGGAGTCCTAATCATCAGCCTTCTGATTCCAGACAGTCTGGGTTGTGCCTGTGGTCCACATGTAGTCAGCATCCTCCACCAGGGCAGGCGGTGGCCTTAGTTTCTGAAGAACAACGCAAAGATATGTGTGATATTATTATGTATATCCCTTGAGGAGAACTAGGACTCTGTTCTATCACTGAAGTATGGTTTCTTGACTGTCTTTCCCTAGTTTCTGCCTTTCCCCACTTCTCTAATTAATAACTGATGGGTCTGCTCTTTGGAACTCAAGGAGGGTCTAGGAAACTAAAACCTTTTTCGACAAACAAGAAATGGGGGAGTATGGAGGGGCTTTTGTACCAGAGTGGGCCTCCAGGGTCCTGTTTGAGTTTAGTCTCTCCCCTTTTCTTTGATACTCCTCAATCCTAAGGGGAATAGGAATAGGGAGAAGGGTCAGCATAAGAAAGATAATAAAGTTTTGGATAGAGAGGTTAGTCATAAACTCAGCAGGGGATCTCAGTTTTAGGGGGACTCAGTTTCACCACTACACAGAGAATCCTTTTTTAAAACATAGATGCATTTTGGGAACGGCTTGCTAGCAGAACATGTGATGACTGTACAATAAAATTGGCTTCCTAGTGTCCTGCAAAATGGACACACATTCTAAGGTGAGGCCACTGGGGACTCGTATTACAGTTTAAGAGAAAATTCCTCTCACTCCCAGTTGGGGATTTGTTTACAGGTTCTCATCAAGGACCAAATGTTGCGAGGTCCTTATACTTTCAGACTGCCCTTTTGTACTGAAAGGGCAGATCTGCCCATCAGGCCATGTCCACTATGTCCAGGTCTTTGTGGACAGTGGTGATGGTCATGCTATCAGGCCACTCCACCCTCTCCTGCCACACCCTGGGCCTGGTCAAACCTAGCTGTCTCTGGAGCTCTGGAGGGGGTACTGTTATGTCCACAGAGTGACTTGCAAGGGTAGAATTCAAGGGAAGCTGCTACCACCCAGCCTCACAATGACAGCAGCCTTTTAGAAGCCAGCCAGGACCAATGAGGGTGATGACCTTCCTTTCGTCTCCCCTCCTCAAGTCCTCCACACTTCCTGAAACAGTAGATGGTTTACGAAGTGCACACGTGGCGTTGTCTGACAATGTCTTGCTGCGGCGAGGCTGACGAGCGAAGGGAGGCAGCACCTGGGCTGGGGGAAGCCCCCCGTGCTGGGTAGGGCACAGAGGGGAACAGAAGCAGGATCCTGCCCAGAATGTTACAGCGAGGACTGGGGAGGCAGCGCCATGCAACAGTGATGACTGAGCTTATACGGCACTTCCTCAGAAAGCATTCCCCGAAGCCCCGCATCAAGTCCCGCTCCCAGTTTACTCACTCTTATCACTGCCACTGCTTCATCCAAACACGTGTCACAACTGTGACCAATTGCTCGTCAGTCGATTATTTGTTTCAAATCTTTCTCTCTGCAGGGACTCGAAGTGCCACCAGGGTAAGGAACCAGGCTTGCACTGTTCACCGTGGTCCCCACAGCACCAAGCATAGGGGTGGGCATGTAGTGCACTCTCTTTAATTGTTAATGTCTGAACAAGTTTGTTGTTGTTCTGTCGCTAAGTCGTGTCTCACTCTTTGTGACCCCACGAACTGCAGCACTCCAGACTTCCCTGTCCTTCACTATCTCACCGAATTTTCTCAAACTCGTGTCCATCGAGTTGGTGATACTCTCCAACCATCTCATGGACAAGAGCCTGATACAATAACAGACCCACTGATATTAAACAGATCAGGCTGTACAGATCCTTTAACAAACACTGAGCACCATGATGCTAAGTGTCAGCTGCTGTCAATGACAGAACTGGCCCTTGAGGAGCTGGCCCTCCCGTGTGAGGAGAGGCACATAGCTAGGCTGTGCAGTAGAGAGGCTCATCTCCCTGATGCAGACCTATCTGGGTTCATGACAACGGGGAAAAGCAATGTCAGAGAGGCTACTGTTGAGTCTGTGGGCAGATGTGCCTGGGACTGGTATTACAAGCGGAAAGACTGGCCTGAACAAAGACCTGCACTGTACCCCAGCCTGTGAGGAGTACAGGGTGGTGGAGTAGATGGGGGAGAGGAGTGGATATGAGCTCGTCTGGAGTAAGATCATGGAGGATCTTAGTCAAGCCAGTATAGAGAAGATCACTACTGAATGATCTGCTAGATGTGCTATAAAGTTGTTGTTCAGTCGCTAAGTCCTGTATGACTCTTTGCAACCCCGTGAATTACAGCATGCCAGGCTTCCCTGTCCTTCACTATCTCCCTGAGTTTGCTCAAACTCATGTCCATTGAGTCAGTGATGCTATCCAATCATCCCATCCTCTGTCACCCCCTTCTCCTCTTGCTCTTAATCTTCCCCAGCATCAGGGTCTTTTCCAATGAGTCAGTTCTTCGCATCAGGTGGCCAGAGTATTGGAGTTTCAGCTTTAGCACCAGTCCCTCCAATGAATATTCAGGGATGATCTCTTTTAGGATTGACTGGCTTGATCTTCTTGCTGTTCAAGGGACTCTCAACAGTCTTCTCCAACACCATGGTTCAAAAGCGTCAATTTGTCAGTGCTCAGCTTTCTTTATGGCCCAACTCTCACATCCATATATGACTACTGGAAAAACCATAGCTTTGACTAGACGGACCTTTGTTGGCAAAGTGATATAAATAAAGTGATATGCTTATAAAGTATGTAAGCACAAAAGGAACTAAGAGGTTGGGTTCCCCTGGGAAGGCAGCCATGGGAACTGAACTTGTGAATTCCTCACCATTAACTCTCCTCGATCTGCCCTCCACAGCGTCTACTGTGCCAATCTCCTGAGACATGCTGAACTTGCTCCCCTAACACTGTCGAGAGGTGGTAAGTTTCTCTGCAGCCTATTTACATATCTGGCAGTGAAATCGATCAGCCTGGAAAATAATCTTGTGGGTGCCCTAGAAAAAAAGAATCTACTTGTGCATTATCCAGATACCAGCTGAGTCTTTCAGCACCTTGAGTTCTCATAAGATAAGCTCAACCCTGTGCCCTGTGGAAAACGAAAGCCACTTCCAGCGGGTCTTTGATTCTCATGGTCACTTGGCTCCAGACCTCAGGAGCTCTTTCCATATCTGCAGGGATATGTTCCTTCCTCAATTTCCATAATAATCCCACCTTGCACAAAGCCTTCATAGGTATAGCAGACCTTACTGAAGAGTTTAAGGGAAGAGAAGAGGGATTTGTACAAAGAAGGGCTGATAACAATAAAAACCAATAATGCCACTAGTTCTCAAGGTGGCCTCTGGCCTCCAACACAACCAGGAATTCCCACTCACTTTTACCAGGCTGTCGTCCTCAACTTCAAACCATCGTGAGGCTCCTTGCCCCCTTTCTCTCCTTTCTCTGCCCTCTTCCTTCTCTCTTGTCTCTCTCTGGGAAGCTAGAACGAATTCAAGAAACAGGTTCAGAAAAGATAGGTAGCTTGCCAAAGGCCACACAGAAACTAACGACAAAACTAGGACTCAAATTCCACATCTTATACTTCTTTCCACTTTTCTTGAACTTACATTAAAACTATAAATACAATCTTTTTTTTAAGTAAGTTTTAAAATACAAGCTTTAGCCAAGAACAGGAAACATTAGTCTTTCTCAATGCGCAGATAACAGGTCTTCCTCGTGAGCCCCCGAACACTGAAATACATCTAGGGTGCTGCCCATTTTCCCATCAGTCAAGCATTGCAAATGTGGTCAAAGACATATCTATTTTCCACAACAGATGTTAAAGTGATCATGCCAAATCAAAATATTTTACAAAAGCATTAACTGTTTCTTTGGTGGCTTCCCTTTGTGAAGAGATTGGGATATTATTATCTTTCTAGGACATTTTCAAAATGAACACTCATATAAATGCAAGGAAAAGAAACAAAAGTTTGTTTCTGGTCAGGACCCCTTGGTCTTCAGTTCCTCAGTCATGTCCAACTCTTTATGACCCTATGGACTATAGCACACCAGGCTTCTCTGTGCGTGGAATTTTTCAGGCAAGAATACTGGAGTGGGTTGCCATTTCCTACTCCAGGGGATCTTCCTGATCCAGGGATTGAACCCGTGTCTCATGTGTCTCCTGAATTGGCAGGCTGATTATCACCGAGCCACCTGGAAAGCCCCCCAGGACTCCTTAGCTCCACACTAATAAAATCAAGATTTTTTAAAAATAAGGAAAAGAAAGCATTTGTGTTCAGACTTTTGGCTCTGTGGTGTACTAGAGAAACATTTGCCCTAAGGAAATGCTAAACGAGATAGACAATGCCACAAAGCTGGAAGGCACTGGCAGGTGGGCAGAATGCATACAGGTCTGAGCAAATTACTGGGCATTTCCCTCCTCCTTCTTTATAGTCCCTTCCGTGGTTCACTCAGACTGTTGGAAGGGTCATTGCCCAGCTCCAGCTTTCCAGGAGCAGACAGCCTCCCAAGGATGTAGGCCTAGATTTCTCTGCTTCTTTGCAAGGCAACCTCAGAGAACCAACATGTGATCAGATCACCATGAGAATGACCAGTGACTCAGACGCCACGAAAATGGATTCATGGGTTTGGACAGGGCTTGTTTACACTCCCTTAAAAGCAGAGTTAGCCATCCTCAGGTCTGGATGGTGTCTAGCTCTTTAACCCTTGAAATTAGCAAAAATTAAACATTTGTACTAATTGATCAAATGTAATATTAAGGACATGAGGACATTTGAGGGCAGACTACTTTCCCAATAGCCAGTTCAGTAGTTATATAACTTCAGTATAAATTCAGTAATTATATAAGTTCAGTATAAATTCCTTCTTCCATAGACCTTAAGGTCAGAGTGTTTATTTTTTGATCCTTGGCATTCTGAACCCCCTGGCTTCCCTGTCCTCTACACACACTCAATCCTTGAGAAGTGGCCATTGAATTGTGCCTATGAACTCTGGTCCCAGCATTCTCTCACATTAGCCTCCTTTCTCTAGTGCCCACTCACCACTGAAAAGAGTTTCTGATGCCAGTGTTGTTGTTGTTTTTTCCCCAGGGGCACCCTCAGGTGAGAACATCAAGCATTTCCCAGTCAGGAGCATAACACCCCCAGGCCACAGACCAACCCCAGCTCCCCGGAGAACAACCCCAGCTCCCCGGAGAACAACCCCAGTTCCCCCGAAACCAACCACATCCCACCCAACACCAACCACGCCCCACCCAACACCAACCACACCCCACCCAACACCAACCACACCCCACCCGACACCAACCACGCCCCACCCAAAACCAACCACATCCCACCCAAAACCAACCACATCCCACCCGAAACAAACCACATCCCACCCGAAACAAACCACAACCGATCACAAACACACCACCCAAAACTCAGCCAACAGAGCCTTCCTCAGCCCCGTGAGAGAAGCCATCCAGATCCTGCTCATCTTTCTCACCAGCACACTCGTCTTCTAGAAGGAAATGGAGGGAATGACTGCTCCTGGCTCCTCTGCATCCTTCTACGTTCAGTCCCAGGGCTCTGACCGGTGTGAATGACCTCTGTGAATGATTTGCGCTCTCAGATGTAAAAGTACTGCCACTGCTTCAGATCCAAATAGAGACCCGAGGGTCACCTAGACCTGATCTAGGTGTAACTTGGAATTCTGGCTCCTAATTGAACATGCTGGCAGCCAGTTCCCTAGCCAATCTAAACTTCTATTTAGATGCAACACCGGTAGCATCTGAAGGGCAAGAAAATAACAATGTACCGTGTCTGAGCAGCCAAGGATAGTAGAAAGGCATTATTTTCTGTCATACCTAATAGACTGCACCTCAAATAAGAATAATGAATGTGTTAAATTCAAATGTCTTTAATGAGTGATTAACTGAAAATACAGAAAACGTTATCTAATTTTATTCACTTATGTGAGCATTTAAAAAAAAATCAATGGATTTAAAATAGATAACTAATAAATACTAATTGTATAGCACAGGTAGCTCTACTCAATATTCCATAGTGACCTATACAGGAAAAGAACCTTAAAAAGAGTGGATACATGTGTATGTAAACTGATTCACTTTGCTATACACCTGAAACTAACACATTTTAAATCAACTATACTACAATAAAAATTTTTTTTAAAAAACAGTGGAATGGTGAGAGTGTGTTTTTAAGGCCAGATATAAGAGTAAAATTTTAATTTTTCTCAGGTGCAAATTGGTCATTTTTCCCCTCATGGTAATTTCCACTAAGACAAAAGGGCAAAATATTTATAATATTCATAATGTAATATAAAGCCAAAAGAAAGCATGGCATTTCCAGTAAAAAGCAACCACATTTTCTTTTAAAAGTTATGCTAAATTCCAGGATGCCAACATCAGTCACTGAGTGCCAGCTTCCAGCTGGCCTTCCTCAGGGACAGCTTCTGTCAATCTTTTTCCCTGTGAATAGGCCATACTTTCCTATTTTGTATGTGTTTAATTTTTGCTAAAAACAAGATTTTGAATATTATAATGTGGTAACTCTGGAAACCGGATTCTGCCTTCCCATCAGGTAATGTTGTTAAGGGCTGCAATTATCCATTTGTCTAGTAACTTTTCTAAACTGGTTTTGCAAAGACTGTGTTCCTGTTGAATGTGGTCACTGAAGTCTCTTTTCTGTTATCTCAGTGGCCAGCCAGTGACCTGACAGATTTTCATGTATGTCAAAATCTAGCAGCCTCTTTCCTCATTAAGCATTCCCCTAACAACTGGAGTTCAGAACAAGCTGACCCTGACAGATTTTGCTTGCTTAAGGGCGGTCTCTCAGCGGAAGGACCAATTCTTTGAGGTCCTTATTCTACCATTTCCCGTGACATCACTTGGTAGCCACTATGAGTATCTGCCAGGCACTGTACTATGCACTTTATGTGGCATCATCTCTCTTAACCCTCACAACAACCCTATAAGATATAGCCATTTTACAGAGGAGGACACTCAGGCAGAGAGAGAGAAACGACTTGCCCAAAGTCACTCAGTGAACAGGTAGTGAAGCTGGGTTTTGAAGAGCGGGCTACACCACTTCAGAGCCTACACCTTTACCTAAACACCCTAAGGGCTCCCTGAGCAGCTCCTTCATCACCTGGGATCCCCCAGAATAACCAGCTTCCCTGGGTCAAATGACAAGGAGAGGGTATGGGTGTGTCTCGCTAGCACAACAAGCAGGCTGCACGCTCCAGCAGTGCGCCTCCAGCCTCCACTTCTCTGCCACCACCTCCAAGATAAGTTGCGGTGAGTGAGTCCTAACCCAACAAGCTAGGAAGGAATTTCATATTTGTCATTCATCGCCCAACCTGATGCCTCAGCTCAGGTTCAATGTGGAGGATGATGAATACTGGAGCCTCAGCAAAGACACTATCTGAAACTGGAAAATGTTTAGACTCAAAGAAATCTGGTGTAGATGAATTCAGACAAGCAGTACAGACGTTTCTGAGCACTGGATTAGGAGGCAAGAAACCTATTAATTTCCACTTCTGCTGCTAAGTAGAAAGGTGATCTTAAAGAAATCACTTTACCTTCTTCTGCCTCAGATTTTTTATCAGTTAGATACAAGGCTGGCCCACAGATGGTATCTCAGTCCTCCTCCAAGCGTAAATTTTGATTTCTTGGTCACACCCAGACTAGTCCTAAGGGTCTAGTCAGAGATGCGAAGTAGGTGTACCTTATGTCATACCTGACTGATTGGCAGAGGCTGCTGGGGACACTGTTGAGGATTCCAAAGCAAAATCTAGGATCAAAAATTCTTCATATTCAACTAATGATATCTTCCTGGGGCTCAGGAGGCAGGAATTGAAGCAGAACAGGCTCCAAGTATTTGCCATTCTTGGTCACTCCTTAAGTGAATCCATAAGTGGCAAGCACGTCGCGAGCAGCAGAAGAGTAAAGGAGTATGTACACTCACGGTCTCAGGAATAGCTACTCCTGATCCTCACTAATGGGAAAGTGATACACCAAAAAGAAAAAAAAAAAAAAAAACCACAGGCAATGACAGGGAAGCCCAGAGCCCGCACTTAATGCACAGAAAGAGATGGACAGTGTATTGCTCCCAAACGCCCTGGCCCAACCTTGCTCTTCCACGTGTGTGTTCTGGTTGCAGCTTCATGTTTTATAAATTCAATGCATTCTCATCCTGTGTCAGAAACAGTAAGTGCCTCCCCACTTAAGGGAAGTGATCATTCATTCTGAGAAAGTAGTAGAAAGAAAAGTGTGCTGTGCTGTGCTCAGTCATGTCTGACTCTTTGCAACCGTATGGACTTCAGCCTGCCAGGTGTCTCCATCCACGGAATTTTCCAGGCAACAATACTGGCGTGGGTTGCCATTCCCTACTCCAGGGGATCTTTCTGGACTAGGGATCGAACCTGCACCTCTTGCATCTCCTGCACTGGCAGTGGATTCTTTACCACTGAGCCATCTGGGAAGCCCAGGAAAGAAAATTAATGTCTTTCAAATCCCACTACCTCTGAGACCTTCACACAAGAGAAAAGTTCCAGATCTAGTCAACAGTCCAACTATAATATCAACCATTAAGCAAGAAAAAGATTAGAACAGTGAGGAAATTTAGATAGTTTCTTAGTGCCTATCAACCCCCACATTATTTTTTAAAGTAAATGTTGAAAATATTATTAAGTAAAATTATATTATTTCATAAGAGAGGTTGTTTTGGCAATTGTCTTAAAGGATAAATTCTGAAGCCAGACTGTGTGGCTCAATTTCATTTTACCACTTATTAGTTGTGGCACTTCATATAAGTTACTTCTCTGTACCTTTGTTTCTTCATTTCTAAAATAGAGAAAAAAATAGTAGCTACCTACTGGTTGTTATGGAGATTAAATCAGTTAATATATATAAAGCACCCAGAATAGCATCTGGCACAAAGCAAGTACTATATAATTATTTAAGGCCACAAAGGGCATCACAAATTGCACATTGATGTACAAGAAAGCCAAGTATTATAACAATATAATATGTGAAAATGGTGCCCATAACAAGGACTAAAATCTCTAATTTGTAACTGTTAAAAGAAATGGCTAATGTCTGACTTTTCACCATCTTTCTTCCTCCAGCCTCACCTTCACCTCCACCCCCCAGGCTCCTAAGTAGAATGTCTTCTAGCTTTCTGGATCAGCTCCTAGGCTCTCTCTTCTTATAAGGAATCCAAATAATGGCTAAAGGAGTTAAATTATCTTAAATAATAGAGATCTAGATCAAAGGAGAGGGTGGGGGAAGAGAAAGCAAAGGCAAAGTTTGGGTCAAGCAATTTGTAAGGCCTGAGACAGAAAGCTCTGGAACCTCTATGGACTGAAAGCAGAGGCTAGGGGTTATGTCCCTGGCATCACTCTTGGTTACAGACTGGTTCTAGTAATGTCCTTCAAGAGATACAAGTGAAAATCAGAAATATTTTCCTTCTGATTGCTGGACTGTTTGTTTAAATATGGCACAGCAGTGAAATCAGGACATAAGAACCACCCCCCACCCTGCTTTTATGTAAGTTATATCCATATATATAGATAAAGTTAAATGTATATACCTGATATAACTGGGAAGTAATTTAACATTTGCAAAAATAGCTGCATATTTATCAATGCATACATATATAACCTATATGTAAAAATAACTTTAGATTCAGATGCTTGAGTCCAACAAACTCAAAAAGTCTTTGGCTAAAATAAAATGTGTAGATAAAGCACATGTAAAGAGTTTGGGATTCTTTTTGAAAGTCGTTGAATCAGTTTTTCCTTTTTTTTTTCAATCCAAACCAATCTAGGTTCAAATCCCAGTTCTTCTACTTACTAAGTCACTTTGAACAAGACTCAATCAGATTCCTCACAGTAAACTGGGGCTGACTCCTACCATAAAGGGCCTGATGAGTGAGACACTGGACACATTGTGGCTGACATAATGCTAATTCACAATAAATCAATCAACACAAAAAACCTGTCAGTTAACCACACAGACACCAACAACAACCTCAAATGAATGGATGGACGATGTCATACCCCACAATCTGGTTAGGTTGCATTTTTCCTTTTCTAAACATAGTTTTCTCCTTCACGAGAGGAACCTTGATATTCCCCCAGTACTGATTTTGGGGAATTACTGAAAGTTATTATGGCAACAAATTGAGCCCGTTTGCCAAAAAACACATATTGCCTCAGGGTTGCCACGGATCTGTCAGCTTTGCACTCCACAAGGAACCCTGTTCCTAGGGGCTAAACAGATGAAATGATTAAAGGCATTCTTTGCAAAACCAGCTGAGGCCCCACTGCCTACAGTAAACCCACTCTCCACTAGCCAGGACGATAACTACCCACCAATCTTCACTGTCTATCCTACCATAAAGGGAATACCCTAGTGATCCCCTGAGTGCAGGGTGCTAAGCAATTTACTAAAAGACCCTTGATTCAGAATTCTAGCTTCTCTGTACTTAAATCAGTAGC